CCTCCTCCTCCCGCCTCCTCTCCTCCTCTCCTCCTCCTCCTCCTCGTCCTCCTCCTCCCTCTCTTCCTCCTCCTCCTCCTCCTCCTCTTCTTCCTCCTCCTCCTCCTCCGCTCCACTTCCTTGCAAACCACTTCTCCCTATCGCACCCCGAGTATAGTCAAAAGGGCGGGCTGGGCCTGTCGCCTGAGACTTCCTCACCATCTCTGACCCCGAGGCTTAACAACTTGCAGCAGCTTCACAGATGGAGGGCGTTTTTTGTTCAACATGTGACTCTCGCCGCAGCGCCGCGCACACTGGTCCGAAACAGTTGCAAGAGCTTCACGGATTGAGGGCAGATGGTTTTCAAAATGTGTCTGTCGCCTGAGCGCCGCGCGCATGTCTTCTTATCCGTTGCACGAGTTGCACGGGTTCCCATGGTCAACGTATCAGAAATTGTGTTGGATGGTTCAGGGTTGTGACGGTGCAACAATTACCTTGGCTCGCGGTGTTGAACTCCCAAGAATGGCGTTCTGGCGCGATTCAGGGTCGTCAAGACGCAACAATCAAGTTGATCCGTGGCGTTGGACGCCCGAGAATAATGTTTTGGCATGCTCCAGGGTCTTGATTCGGTTGTTTTCCAGCGAGGCAGAAACCTAAGTGGAAATGAGCCGTTGTAGGGGCTTATGGCGAGCGAGCTTGAAGGAAGGGTTTATTCCAACATCGTTGATGGCTCTTGGGTTTTTACACTGGTCCTCCTCCTCCTCCTCCTCCTCCTCCTCCTCCTCCTCCTCCCCATCTCCCATCCCCATCCGTTTCCTCCTCCTCCTCCTAATCCTCCTCCTCGGTCTCCTCCTCCTCCTCCTCCTCCTCCTCGGTCTCCTCCTTCTCCTCCTCCTCCTCTTTCTCCTCTTTCTCCTCCCCCTCCTCCTCCTCCCCCTTTTCTCCATTCCTCTTCCTCATAAATAACTTCTCACTGTCGCACCCCGAGGCCAGTTTTTAGGGCGGCCCGGGCATTTGGCCTGAGACGTCCTCACCATATATGACCCGAAGCTTTCACATTTGCAACAACTTCACAGATGGAGGGCGGACTGATTTCAAAATGTGACTCTCGCCTCCGCGCCGCGCGCATTCGTTTGAAACATGTGCCAGAGTTTCACGGATTGGAAGCGGGTGGTTTTCAAAAAGTGGCTCTCGACATTGCGCCGCGTACACTCGTTGTGCAAATGTGCAAGGAGTTTCACGGATTGAGGGAGGGTGGTTGTCCAAATGTGGCCCTCGCTTTCGCGTCGCGCGAATTCGTTTGGCAAGGTTGCAAGAGCTTCACGGATTGAGGGCGGCTCGTTTTGAACATTTGGCTCTCGCCCTCGCGCCGCGCACATTCGGTTGATAAGGTTGCAAGAATTTCACAGATCCCCGTGAACAGCGTACCAGAAATTGTGCTTTGGATGGGCTCCGGGTTACGAGGGTGCAGTAATTATGTTGGTTCGAGGGTTCGAGGTGTTGAAGTCCCCAAAATGGCGTTTCTGGCGCGATCCAGAATCGTTCAGAAGCAACAATCAAATTGATCCGTGGCGTTGGAGACCAGAGAGTACAGCTCCCTCAGTGGAAATGAACCGTTGTATGGGGCCTATGGCGAGGGAGCTCGAAGGGAGGGATTATTCCAACATCGTTGGTGGCTCTTGGGTTTACACTGGTCCTCCTCCTCTTCCTCCCCCTCCTCCTCCACCTCGAGTCGCACCGATCTGCCAGAAACTGCCCCAATGCCCTGAAACTGGGGGGCGGGGTTGTCAGGCACGGCATTGGAAGCTTGTGGGGAGAGGAAAAAAGGGCAGGAGAAGCATGAATGAGGAAGACGATCATCGCGGCTGTCGGTCAGGGCGTGGGCAGCTCTCCACCACCTGTGGGGCGTCGCGTGGCGACTTGGTGAACGACATGGCGGCATCAGCCTCGTGACCGACAGAAGGGGGCCTGGGCAGCAGGGAATGGAGACGCCGGGGCTGGAGCGCTGTTCAATGTTCTACGTCCGAGTGGCCCTGTTTCCCCGCTGGCCATGAATTCCAAGACGCCCCACGACCCTGCTGGGAGCAAGAGGTAGCAACAATCAGTAGAGACGCTTCGGGGGCTGATCCATGTCAAAGCTCAAACTCACGAGCCCCCTGCGGGGTGGATGCGCATGCAGGGCAACGACGTCTCATGATACCCTCAGCCTGCCAGGCACCCCTTCGAACGACGGCACTATGTCGGATGGTTTTGCGAAACCAGAAGGGGCAACAGGGACGCGCAACCGAGGTGAAACGCAACCACCCCGCACCTGGAGCCGAAGCCGCGAATACGACATGGTCCCGAGACGCCCCGTCAGGGGGCATCCCTTCTGACGCTGGGGAATGCGACCGAGGGACGTGCTGCACCCAAGGACGCAAGGCCACCCACCCCGAGCCGGACCCCGAAACTTCCAACTCGACGTGTTCCTCCCCCTCCCCGCCGATGCAAATTTCACAACGCTCACCCCCAAGCCAATCCGTGGACGACCCCGACGCCCCCAACTAGACGTGTCCCCCCCGCCGACACAAGTTGCACAACGTCCACACCTGATCCACTCCGTGGAGGAGGAAGGAACATGGCGGCGCAGAAGGGGGAAGAGAAAGGGAGGACGGTTTTTTAGAAGGAGGCTGTTTCTTAGAAGGTGAGGGCCTCCCATCTACAGCCAAGGCACCCGCCTCCTAAGAAACAGCCTCCTTTGAAGAAACCTTCCCCCTTCCCCCATACCCCCTTGTGCGCGCCGCCAAGATGAGAAGAACGAGGAGGAGGAGGGAGGGAGGAAGGGACGAGGAACGAGGAGGGAGGAGCGACGAGGGAGGAGGGAGGACGAGGAGGAAGGGCGAGGGACGAGGACAAAGGGACGAGAGGGAGGAGGAGGAAGAGAGGGAGACGAGCCTGGCAAGGGGATCCCCTCCTTCCACTCCACGCAAGCCCCTCGGCCAGGGAGAACTCTGGACGCCGCGAAGGTCTCGACGGAGGGACACAACGATGGAGCGCGGGGGGGCAAGCACGCGCCTCCCGCTGGTGCCGCGGGAGACGAGGTGCGCGGCGCGTGAGGAGGAGGAGAAGGAGAAGGAGGAGGAGGAGGAGGAGGAGGAGGAGGAGGAGCAGTCTGCGAGGCGGAGGAGAAGGAAAAAGAGGAGGAGGAGGAGAAGGAGGAGGAGGAGGAGGAGGAGGAGGAGAACGAGGAGGAGGAGGAGGAGCAGAAGGAGGAGGAGGAGGAGGATTTTTGGCCGCTGCATACATGCGGTGCTGCCCGCGCCAACGCACAGGACTGGCAATAAGTGCGGTGCTGTCCGCACCAAGGCGGGCCAACCGTCAGGGCCATGCCCCCGTGGCAAAGACAGGAGACACGCCTGACGGGCGAGCGCGAGACAGGGCACGCAAGAAGGCCGTGCTCCGCGTGCCCTGCTCGGGGTAGGGGGCGCCGGAGGCCGTGCTCCGGCGCCCAACCTACCCACCACCCACATACGTTGGTGGCCGCGGCGACGAGAGCTCCACTAATACCCCGCCGAACCAGGCGGCGCCGACCGCCCCACTGGCTCCGCCAGAGGAGGAGGAGGAGGAGGAGGAGGAGGAGGAGGAGGAGGAAGAGGAAGAGGAGGAGGAGGAGGATGAGAAGGAGGAGGAGGACGAGGAGGAGGAGGAGGAGGAGGAGGAGGAGGAGGAGAACGAGGAGGAGGAGGAGGAGGAGGAGGAGGAGGAGCAGGAGGAGGACGCCTTCGGCACCATCACGAAGGATGCCACCACCAACATCGACGGCACGAGCAGGCAGGCGAGCACCTGCAAGCGTGCCGGCCGGCCCCGAGGCCGGAGGCCGTGACAGCCTGGGCCCCGTCGGCCCCCGTGCACGGAGGTCGCCCACACGTTGGGGGGGAACCCTTTGGGAGGTTCTCGCCAGGACGAAGCCCAGACAGGAGGGCGTCGTACCAAAATCAGGACGGGAGGTTTTTAGCTACTGTCGGCCCCGGGGAGCCCTCGCCGGGCCTCGGGACCGTCGAAAAAAGAGTCAGGACAAAAAACAGGTCCTGGGGAAAGGGTCGGGACTTCCAGGGACGCCGTCCTGAAGAAATCAGGACGTCGCATGTCTGGGAAGGGCTGATCATTTTGCCCGATGAAGGTGCCATGTAGCCAGGTCTACGCCGGATGAGGCCTTCGGGTTCAGAGGCTGGAGTGCTCAGAAGCGGGGTGAAACCGGATTTCGCCGGACTAGCGAGTCCAAGAAAATGGGGTACGACTGGATTGGGTCCCCTGATCACCTCGAGTCGCGCAAAAATTGCGATAAACGATTTATCGTTCTTTCCAGCCGCTGGGGTGCCTTTACCGGGACTTGGGACCGTGCAAACTTGTCGGAGGAAATGGATCCTGGGGAATGGGTTGAGAACTCTGGGGGGCGACGTTACGAAAAAAACAACATCGGGGGTCTGGGTCGGAGGATCGCACCACATCGCCGATGGATCGACGATACATCGGCAACCCCATCGATGCAACGGCGCCGTCGGCGAGGAAATCGGGCTCCACATCGAGCCACATCGCCGATGCATCGGCGATTCCGCGCGATCCTCCGACATTTAATTACTCGGACCCCCGTCTCTGGGATGCCTGGAGCGCAGGCCACGACGGTCCCTGACATCCATCGTAGTGGACAAACAGCAAGACGGACATGCTCGCCGTTCTCTGAGGAGGGCAGAAATCCACCCCGATAAAAAACACCCCGACACGCGAGGCCTTCAGTAAACGCGCCCAAAGAAGGAATCGAACAAGGCAGGGCTGTTTAGTAAACGGCCCATTTGTGCGCTCCGGGCAGCTTTTCCTCCCTTGATTCTGCATCCCCGCGGCGTGACGAAAATCCCCCGACGCTCTGACCCGCCCTCGGGAATCCTCAAAGACCCGTCGGGGCCGAAACACCCGACCCCCGGAGAAGGGGCCCAGACCTCCAGGAGCCCCTTGCTCCCTGCGAGCCGACGCCTCGAAGAATTTACACCCCGTGGAGAATCACGACCGGGGCACGCCTCGAAGAGCTTACCTCGACGCGGCGGACGACGAAAACCTCAAGGACGCAAAAGCAAGGAAGAGCAAGGACGCAAGGGTACCCTGAGCAAAGTCGCGCGTCCTGATGAGGGTTTTTGACTGTACAAGGCGTGAAAGATCACGACCGGGGCTCCAAATCCCAGCTTCCTGCGTCGCTCTTCGAGCAGGAGCGAGCCACGAGGGTCCCGCGGCCCGAACGCCGGGGATGAGCTCGGCACCCCCTTGGGGCAAAGCGCGGTGCAGCGAAAACGACCTCGGGCCCAAACCCGGCGGGCGCACGCCCCCTCGGGAACCGAAAACGGACAACTCACGAATCGACGTGTCAGGGTGGGGGCTCTGTCCACCGCCGAGGAAGCTTCGATCTTCGATCCTTCGATCCTCGATCCTTCGATATTCGATCCTCGATCTCTTGATCCTCGAGGTTCGATCCTCGATCCTTCGATCCTCGATCCGTCGATCTTCGATCCTCGATCCTCGATCGCTCGATCCTCGATCCTTCGATCCTCGATCCTTCAATCGTTCGATCCTCGACCTTCGATATGTCCGACCCTCGACCCCCGACCCTCGACCTCCCTCTCCGATCTTCGAACTCCCTCCCCGATCTCCGAACACGCGGAACCTTCAATCCTTCGGTCTCGACCTTCGACTCTCGATCTGCGATCGGAGGAGGAGGAGGGGAAGGGGGAGGAGGAGGAGCAGGAGGAGGAGGAGGAGGAGGAGGAGGAGGAGGAGGAGGAGGAGGAAGAGGAGGAGGAGGAGGAGGAGGAGGAGAAGGAGGAAGAAGTGGAGGAGGAGAGATCCTCGATCCCTCGATCCCTCGATCTTCGACCCTCCTCCTCGAGCACGCGGTGCCGGCCAGGGTCGCAGGGGCTGCGCAGCGGCCTGCGCGGGCCGACGCTCCCCGGGCCGCGCGGGCGGGGGGGGGGAGCCCAGAGCTCCCTCCCGCCGTCCTATAGCCGCAGCACGGCGCGGGGCCCCCGAGGCCCACCTCTGGGTCGGGCATGGCCTCCTCCACCTCCTCCCCTCCTCCCCCTCCTCCCCCTCCTCCTCCCCTCCCTCCCCTCCTCCCCCTCCTCCCCCTCCTCGCCCTCCTCCCCCTCCTCCCCCTCTTTCTGGGCGCGCCGAGCTCCTCCCGGCTCTTTGTCGGGCCGCTCCTCTCCGCGAGGCGGAGCGGCACGCGCTCCCGGCGGAGCCTGGAAGAAGGGCAACCGACAGCCCGACAGACAGGCGAAACAACGGTGGAGGCATCGGTCTGGGTGACCCGCACTTGCCGTCGCTCGGACGCCCATTTCCCGTGCGCTTTTCGATCTCGGGCGTGCTTGTCTTTGCTCGATGGTCCAGGATGGTCCTCGATGGTTCTCGATGGTTCTCGCCGAGAAAAAATGCACACGTCCGAGCGATGCCCAGCGAAAGGGGTCCAGCTGAAAGGGGGTGGTGCAATAGATTTGGGGCAATTGTTAGATTTGGGGCAATTGTACTGCAAACGTACTGCGCCAAAGAATTGGATTGCATTGTATTGCAACTAATGTATTACACACGAAAATCCAGCAATACATTTGAGCCCCGGAATGCGTTGGACGCCCCAACAGTCTTGCAACCCCACAAAATCTATTGCACCAAATCTGTCGCTGGACCCCCTTGTGGGTCAATCCGAATTGGATGAGGCTACCTTCGAAAAGGAATCCAGGGTCTGGAAGTTGGTGGAGCACCAATTGTGGATTGGCCATGGATACAAATGCCGACCTCATCACGTAAGGAATCCGACAGGGCCTGAAACACCCTGGGCACATTCCGTAACCAACGCCCCCACCGTAGTCAAAAGGGCACGAAACATCGTCCCCAGATGAATGGTGTTGCTATTTTTTTGGAGGCCTGGAGATGGGCACCACCACCAACACAGGGGGTTGCCTTCACGGGGGGGAGATGACCCTAGACGTCGATGCTTGTGGTAATAGTTCGGCCACCTTGACAGCCAGAATGCTGCCACCATCACCGAGATCGGGATCTTCTGAAGGGGCCCTAGGACACACAAATAAATACACACAAATAACATGATCCCCCAAATTTTCGTATATGTTCTGGGTTGTTCTCTTCCCCCCCCCACTTCCCATAGTTTTCCATATTTTCTGGGGAGTCGACGATTAATCGTGTCTGTGTGTTTCTTTCCCTCCTGATCTTCTTCCCTCGACGGAGGCACACCGCCGCAATTGGTGTTGGTGTCAGCCTTTATGAGCCTGCGACTCGTGCACCTTCCTCCTGCAGGGGGCCACGCCCCAGTGAAGCCTATCTTTATGTCGGGCGTGTCCCCCTACAGGGGGATTTGCGACGAAAGATATAGATATATATAAAAAAACCAAAATACCCCAAGAAGGTAAAACAATAGTCAAAAATAGTCCCCAGACTATGTTTTGATGATTTTTTGATTATTTGTGGTGTATTTCCCTACCTGGGCTCTGCCTAGAAGGGTTCTTACCCTCTAGCTTAAAGGGGCCGGGCCGTGGAAAGCGCCCCGGGCGGTTCCCCCAGTCTCCTCCCCGCGGTTCCCCCCGGTCCCCTGGGAGCTTTAGCTTTAGCTTTAGCTTTAGCTTAGCTTTAGCTTTAGCTTAGCTTTAGCTTAGCTGTAGCCTAGCTTTAGCTTAGCGTTTCGCTTAGCTCTTCGCTTAGCTTGAGCTTAGCGTTTAGCTTAGCTTGAGCTTAGCTTGAGCTTAGCTGTAGCTTAGCTTTAGCTTAGCTTTAGCTTAGCTTTAGCTTATAGTTAGCTTAGCTGTAGCTTAGCTTTAGCTTAGCTGCTGCTCAGCTTTAGCTTAGCATTAACTTAGCTTTAGCTTAGCTTTAGCTTAGCTTTAGCTTAGCTGTGGCTTAGCTTTGGCTTAGCTTTAGCTTAGCTTTAGCTTAGCTTTAGCTTAGCTTTAGCTTAGCTTTAGCTTGGCTTTAGCTTAGCTTTAGCTTAGCGTTACTGTTACTACTAATGCTGCTTTCCTAGGGGTTCGAGCTCCTAGGTAGGGTCGCACTGGGATATTTTTCTTCTCGAGGGGTGGTGGGTTTCAGGGGGGGGGGGGGGGCGCGGCCCCGGGCGGAGACGCCCGCCGCGGGATCTGCCCAGGGGCCCCAGATCTCACACTCGAAGCCTCCTAGATGGGGTCCGAGTGGCTGGGGTCGGAAGCTCTCGCCGCATCGCCGATAACATTGGCGATGCATCGCCGATGCATCGGCGATGCACCGTCGACGCATCGTCGACGTCGGCGATGCATCGGCGACGTCGACGTGAAGCAAATCGGGATCCACATCCGGCCGCATCGGCGATGCATCGGCGATGCGGCGCGATCCTCCGACCCCATCTACTCCGACCCCATCTAGGAGGCCCAGGCACACGAGGGCACCTGGTACGGGACTCACAAAGACATACTAGCCCAGACATGATCGCGTCGTGAAAAAAATCAGAACGGGAGGTGCTTGGCCATTCGCGGCCTCGGGAGGCCCTCGCTGGGCCGCGGGACCGTCAAAAAACGACTCGGGATGAACAACCGGTCCCGGGGAAAAAGGGTCGGGACTGCCAGGGACCCCACATGGAAAAAAATCAGGACGTCATGTCCTCCTTGGAGGCGCGCGTCCGACCCGAACATCTAGTTTTTTTCTCCAATAAACAACGAGCCCTGAACGATTGGCACCGAGCCGTGAGACGGAGCACCTCTGGACAAGCCGAGAACGCCACACGCGATGTCAAGCACAACGAAACGCCTGCCGAGGGGGAGAGAGGGGCGGAAAGAGGGGAAGAACGCTAAACGTAGCCTGGCCGGCCTCGCGACGAAAACAGGGCTGTGCTCGGGTACGAGCAAGAGCCCGCTGGAGAGTAAGAAACAAACGCCGCCAAGCGAACGCACGATGTGCCTGTGCCCCGGCAAACGCCATGGCCCTAATTACTGCTCGTCTTGTAATCCTCATCCGACCCGAACATCTGGTATACCCATCTTGTGATAGATAGTTGTCCGCGCGGCGTCGGCCAGAGAGCGCCCGCCACGACGCATATGCGCCCGAAGATTCCTCGGTGCGCGCGTCGCCCCTAATCAAATCAGGACGTAGTGTCCTCCTTGGAGGCGCGCGCCCGACCCGAACATCTAGAAATACCCATCTTGTGATAGACAGTTGTCCGCGGGGCGTCGGCCAGAGAGCGCCCGCCACGACGCACATGCGCCCGAAGACTTCCTCGGTGCGCGCGTCGCCCCTGAGGGGGCGACGCCACGCACATAGCTCGGGGAGACGTAAGACCCGGGTACGGGGGACTCGGAAATCCCCGACGAGGTCGTCAAAAAAATGACGAGGCCGAGCCTGCATTTTGACGAGGCCTCCCGCTGCAAACATCCCACGAAACTCCTCCTCGTCAAAATCCGAGGCGCGGTCGTCAAAAAACGATGGCGAACCCGAGTCCTGGCAAACCCGGGTCTTACGCTCCCCCGAATAGCATTGGGCCCCCGGGCGGACAGGGGCCCCACACGGCGCGCGGCGCCTTCAGCGCGACGCTGGCCATCTTGTCCATCAGCATCTGCACGGGGTACTTCGCGAGCAGCTCGACCGTCCTGCGGGCCCGCGCGGCGCGCCGCGGGCTGCCATGGGGGGCAGGGGGGCAGAGGCGGAGGCGGGGATCGAGGAGGGCAGGAGCGCCTCCTCTCTCCTCCTCCTCCTCTCTTCCTCCTCTCTTCCTCCTCTCTTCCTCCTCCTCCTCCTTCTCCTCCGTTCCTCCTCCTTCGCCTCCTCGTCTTCCCTTATCCTCCTCCTCCTCCTCCTCCTCCTCCTCCTCCTCCTCCTCCCCATCCTCCTCCTCCTCCTCCTCCTCCTCCTCCTCCTCCTCATCATCATCATCATCATCATCATCCTCACTTCTCTTCGCTTCTCCTCTCTACTCCTCCTACTCCTCCTCCTCCTCCTCCTCCTCCTCCTCCTCCTCCTTCTCCTCCTCCTCCTCCTCATCCTGCTCCTCCGCATTTCTCTCTCTCTCTCTCTCTCGCTCTCTCTCTCTCTCGCGCTCTCTCTTCTGGCTAGAGAGGGGGGGAGGGAACAGAGGAGAAGGGTGAGCAGCAGCGGAGCGGGAAGGGGGGTGAGGATGTGAAGAAGCGCTGCGCCCAGACCGACCGGCGTCTTGGAAGAACGAGCCCGGCAAGCAGAGAGACAACGGGTCCGCCAGCCGCCCGGGTACCGCTCGCATCAGCCTGTGCAGGCACTTTCGTGCGACGGTAGGCCCTAGTGCCGCACAAAAAAGCAAAACCGTACCTGTACCGCGGTCCTGGTACCGTACCGGTCCGCTTGGTCGTGCTACCGTACCGGCGCTACCGGTACTGGCGGTACGGTACCGGTACCGTGTGCCCATGTGCCGTACCGTAGCCACCATGGCAGGGGGGCATTGCCCCAGATGTGGGCGACTCCGCACACGGGTCCATGACGCCTCAGCAGCTCTGAGCGAGGCAAGGTCGAGCTTCTGGGCCTGGCGCCATAGCCGCACCGTCATGCACGGCAGTGTCTGGGAGCCCGGCGCCTTAGGGCAGCGGGCAGGGGCAGGCGACCGAGAGAGAGAGCTCCCAGAGCGACGAACACCGGCAGCCTCGCGGAGTCTCCGCAAAGACGCCCACATGTGTGGGCAAATCCCGGGCCGTCCCGGGGCACGGGCAGTCGAGCGCACTACGGTAGGTTCGTGCGGCGTCGGCGCGATCAAAGGTTTTTGACACCGCGTCGATCGTTTAACCCTGAACCGATCGCGGCCCCTGTGGCGTTATGCCGTGTTCCTCGTTGCTTCCGCGTCGCTCTATCGTGTGGAATTCAACATTGAACGCTTTCGCCGGCGTCGCCGGCGCGCCATCGCCTAAACCTGCCGTATCGAGCTTATCTGATGCGACACCAACTCCATGACAATCCCGTCTGAAGCGATCAAGTGCCACGGCCCTCACCGTGTCGAATCCAGACACACAAACAAGACACACACACATGATCATTCCGAAGACAGCGCGGACCTTCCTGGGCCACCGCTGGGCCCCCCCCGCACTGGCGCAGTTGGCCTGTGTCGCGCGCAGGGTGACCTTCTCGACGTCCGAGGCAACCGGAGGTATCTTGAGAGGCCTTCTCGACGGGGTCGGAGCAGACGGAGTCGGAGGATCGCGCCGCATCGCCAATGCATCGCCGATGCATCGGCGATGCATTGGCGATGCATCGGCGACGCATCGGCGATGCACCGGCGACGCATCGGCGATGCACCGGCGACACCGGCGTGGAGAGAATCGGACTCCACATCGAGCCGCGTCGCCAATGCATCGGCGATGCGGCGCGATCCTCCGACCCCATCTATTCCGACCCGAATCGGCGGTGGACAAACCTCCCTGTAGTAAACCTCCCCTTAGTGAAAACACACTGGGACCGAAACCGACGGACCTGGACCCGCAAAAATGACGGCCGCGACGCCCTCTCGCGAGCCGAAAACGGCCACTTCGCTAATCGACGTGTCAGGGTAGGAGGTCTGTCCACCCCCGAATCTGCTCCGAGCCGAATCTAGGAGGCACTGGAGGCATCACCCGAGGGACCACGAGCGTCAGCGGCGCGCCAGGTCGACCAGTACGAGGGGCCGAGCGGGACCCAGAAATGTGACTCCTCCTCCTCCTCCTCCTCCTCCTCCACTCTCTTCCTGCTCCTCCTCTCTCCTCCTCCTCCTCCTCTCTCCTCCTCCCCCTCCTCCCCCATCCCCCTCTTTCTCCTCTCTCCTCCTGCTCCTCCTCCTCCTCCTCCTCCTGCTCCTCCTCCTCCCTGATTATCTCTAATACGAGGTCCTCGAAGTCCCGACCCTTACCCTGGGACCCGCTTTCCATCCTGCGTCGTTTTGGACGATCCCGAGGCCCGGCGAGGGCCCCCCGAGGCCGAAAAGGTGTAAAACAAGTCTGCCGTTCTGATCTTTGTACGACGCGAACATGTCTGGGACTCCTCGGTTATGGGCACCCGAAACGGGTACGGATAAATTTGGCACAATGCCCAACATTACATGTCGTCCAAAACTGACAGCGGCCGCTGTTGGGCAAGCGGCTTTCTGTCTTCAATGAACAACGTCCGCGGCGGCGCGGACAGCGAGTCCTGTTGAAAATGAGCAGGAACTGCTGTTGCACATTCTTTCCGTGCCCATTTCGATCGCCCCGATCGGTCGCAATGGCAGGTGGGCTCCGGCAGCCCTGACCAAGGCCAGGCCAAAGGCGATGTTGCTTAACGGTGAGGTTGGGAACCGACTGGTAGGAAATCACGAACCACACTTCCCGACGTTTCCATAATCTGCAAACGGATCGAGCGAACACGACACAGCGAATTATAGGAAAGCACGAACCACGCGTTCCCACACTGTCGTAACCTACATCGCCGTTTCCTACCCAGACATGCGACGTCCTGATGTTTTTGATACGGGATCCCTGGAAGTCCCTGACCCTTTCCCCGGGACCGTCGTTTCATCCCGAGTCGTTTTTGACGGTCCCGAGGCCCGGCGAGAGCCTCCAGAGGCCGAAATCTGCCAAAAACCTCCCGCCCTGATGCCCCGAGTCCGAATATTGTAACAAACTTGCCGTTCTGATCTTGTACGACGCGATGATGTCTGGATGCATCGCCGTCAGCCCGTCTGCGGTGATAGTCTCCGGAGGCTGGGTCCGCAGGGGCTCTGGCCACCGCGGGGTCCACATGAGGCTGCGGCTCCTGCCTCTCGTACTTAGTCCCCCGCCGCTATGCCCGTGCTCGGCTTGCGTTCCGCCCTGTTCCCCAAAGAGACGGAGGATGAGGAGGAGGAACGGAGGGCGAGGACGAGGAGGAGGAAGAAGAGGAGCAAAAGGAGCAGGAGGAGGAACGTAGGAGGAGGAACGGAGGAGGAGGAGCAGAAGGAGGAAGGACAGGAGGAGGAGGAGGAGGAGGAACGGGGGATCCTGCTATGTGATGCAGTCCCCATCCACATGACCCTACGACGACGCCGCTTGATGCACTTCATCAGAATGCTGCATGCGGACACGCCATTTCTTCATCGACTCATCGACGAGCTCTGGGAGGACAGCAAGGCCTGGAATGTACTTATCGTCGAGGACTTGGATTGGATCAAACGTTTCTTGCTGGACGACGAGGACCTGGGCAGCGATATCAGGGATGTTGTACGATGGGCACGAGCTCAACACGAGCATTCCGCACAGGCCTTGGTTACGCGTGCTTGGCTTAGGTCCAGGTCCTGGCAGCACGATGCTTACCGACACCGGCTCTGGCAACGACAGCTACATCGGCTTGCTCAAGACTTCGGACTTACCACGCCCAACTTTGACGGCCGACCACCTACACAGCACAGTGGTTATCTGCTACGAGTGCGGCAAGGTCCTGAAAACACAAGGAGCCTGGAAGCGCCACCGCACTATGGAACACATTGGCTTCGACCTTCCTGAACTACTCGCCCGCTCGACAAAGAGCCCTGGGTGCGGGGAGGACTTCATCACGCGATCACGCATACTCAAGCACCTGAGAAGATGCCCCAGGTGCCTGGCGGTTCTCCAAGCAATTGAAGTTCCAATGGACTTACAAGAGGCAGCTGATCGACGTGAGGAAGAACGAGAAGCGGTGGCTGCGAGGAAAGCGATGGGCCACGGAGCTACTAAGGCGCTGGTGCCTGTTCAGCAGGTCATCCAAATTAAGCTCGCCGACCACATCGACCAGCAGCAGTTTCAGCTCTCGCCCGCACCGCCCGCGGCAGCGCCACTTCAAGAGGAGACGCCACCAGCAAGGACCTTCGCACCTTGCAGGCCCATGGTCACCACGACCATGTTCTTGCTACATCTCTTCTCAGGGAGACGCCGAGTGGAGGATTTCCAGCACCATTTCGAGATGAATGTTCGGGGATGCAATTTGATAGTGCTATCAATCGATGTGCAGATCGACCCCGACAAAGGCGACCTGACCAAGCCAGACGCGATCGCCTTTTGGTGTGCGGCGATATGTCAGGGCAAAATCTTTGGTATTGTAGCAGGCCCCCCGTGCGAGACGTGGTGCTCATCACGGTGGCACGCCACCGAGGGCAAAGCTCCACGACCACTGCGCACCCACGACTTCCCCTGGGGCATACAAGCAGCCAACCAAACTGAACTCCAGCAGCTAGCACTGGCCAACGAACTCTACAGGACAGCCTTACTGCTCATCACCACGGGCCTGCAGTACAACGTCTCCGCGATACTCGAGCATCCCGCCCCAGCTACCTGGTGTCCTCAAGCGCCGAGTAGCTGGCACCGAGCGGAGACTCGGTGGCTGTTGGAGCAGACCAACGTCGAGCTGCACTACATCGACCAGTGCCAGTTTGGGCAGGCCGCGCGAAAGCCAACGTGTCTGCTCGCGGCACACCTCAGTGAACTCACGCAAGTTCTTGGAGCAGTGCCAGGCGGCCAGCGGTGCCGACACAACAAACACGACCGAGCCTATGGACGCGACGGGCACGGCGGCTGGAGGACTGCTCCTCTCAAAGAATACCCTTCGAGGTTGTGCAAGGCGATGGCAGCAGCCTTCGCAGCCCACTGGGGACAGCTCGTCGATGATGAAGCACTGTGGGCCGAGACGGACGAATACTTCCACAGCTTCTACGCGCCACTGGATCACTATATCGAGCCAGAACAGCTGGGGCACGACTGTCACAGGGAGTGGGGCAGTCATCGCCGCTAGCAGCATCTACAGTGTCGCGCTGTACTACTTCGACCAGAACGGGGTGGTGGACCACCACAGGCTCGGGCCCATGGGCACAGACTGTACCACGGCGAACTGCACAACTGGATGCGAGTGGACTCATGTTTTTAGTAGACTACTATTTTGCTGTACAGATGGATTGCGAGATGGATTACGTATGGGTTACAGTGGGCTACAATCGATTTGCGAATGGACTTATATTTTGCAGTGGGTTTGTAACATGCCCAGAAGACGGAGCGGTTTTACTATCTTGCTGTACACATCGACCGAGAGCACGATGACACAAGGACCGATCGACTACGATGGCGTGCCATTCTCGAGGGGGGGACCCGTAGCGCCCATACGGGTGGGCACGATCCCTCAAAGGCGACGGAGCGTGCCTCCCCTCGAGTATTCTTACTGGTTTTACCATTCTTGGCTCCTATGTATTTGATGCGTACATACCTGCCTGGGCAAAGGTAATACAGCACCCAGCTTATCACTGGACGTAGTATGTTGTTTCTCAGCAGGTGGGCAGCAAGTTTGACTCGTGTAACACGGGCTGGGGCACTACATCAACATGCAGCATAAGCCGTACTACCTCTGTCAGCATGTGGGAGTCGAGTACTACAGGCGCCGAGGAACAAGCAACAACGTGTCGACCAGCTTGACGGTACTGAGCACGACCACGGCGGGTACTACAGGGCAGACCGTGGCAAATAGTGTCTGCGACGGAGAGCACTTTGGCGTCAGGACTCAAGTCCTGAGGAAGCCCGGAATCTCAGGCAGCGTCGCCAAGTTTTGTATGATGTCAGGACGCAAGTCCTGGGGAAGCCCCGAATACGTGGGAAGACCCCGCGCACAAGTCGCTACGTTTTGCTGTATGCACTTGGCATGGACCGTACGTATGCAACTCAGTGGATACCAGCTGGCCAGACGGCGGGCGACTGCTACAACATACCGCGCCGCTCATCGACCACTACCATATCCCTGGTATGCCCCACCACACCTCTACAAGTCAACGCTGCCCTGGTGAGGCTTGGATCAAACTTCGAGACGGGCTCGAAGGGTGGGGGGGAAGGACGAGTACTACCCGCGCCCACCAGGAGAATGGTGAGGGGCAGGGGGGGGTAGGACGTCCACTACCTGCGCCCCCGCGGTCCGCCCTAGCTCGCCACCCCCACCATCCCCATGGCGGAGGAGGTGCTACCCGAGCGCCCACAGGGCGAAGCGCAGGACAGCCGAGACATCCCACACCGACAGAACGCAAGCACCAGGCCTGGGGTTCGCCCCCGCCGAGGGCACCGTGACCCCTAGCCATAGCGGGACGAGGTGGGGCCGCGGCGAACCCCACTTGAAGTCGGTGCATGGAGGCCTCATATGTGCGCCTACGCCCCACATCACAACTCCAGCAACAAGCCGATCGCCCAACGACCCTGACCAGCACGCACAAAAAGCAGATACAATGACGGGGGAACTCTCCAACGCTCTACCACTCAGCCAGCATTTCCCGCCACCACCGACGACTAGTACGTCTGAGCCGAGCACTACATGATGAGGACCATCGATTCAAGCACCACCTCATCAATGAATGCGACTGGGTCGAGTACCACAGGATCGACGCCATACTTTCATGCTGTAAGCCGACGACCACCATGCTTGAGTCGAACACCACAGCTCACCAACTGACTATCAGCCGAAGTCCACCAGCCGACTACCCACTACTGGGACGCACATGGACATACTAGTACTATATGTCCTCCTTGGAGGCGCGCGTCCGACCCGAACATATAGTATACCCATCTTGTAGTATATCGTTTCCCGAGCGGTGTGGCCAGAAAGCGCCCGCCACGACGCATATACTATAAGTATGTTGGGGTGTTGCCGAACTACCACTACCCGCATCATCCTGATGACCACCATGATCGAGCCGAATCACATCGTGAACTACAGCGCTCAGCTGCACCACAGCGACCTGCACGTCTGCGCGCGAGCAGCACAGCTCCGAGGGCCGCAGAGTCGGGCAGTGCAACTTCGACCTGTGCGACGGGGACGAGTACCGCGGGTTCGCGCACTACGGAGGCCAGCAGCACCTCGGGTGCGCGAACTGCCGTGCGGCCGCCGGCCCACGAAGAGGCCGACGGCCTGGCTGCGCGCCGTGCCGCGCTGCCTGAGAAGGCGGCCGCGCGCGGCGCACGCTGAGGGCCCTGGCGGGCCCCCTTCCTTTTTGAAAACCCGGCCCCCTCCTCCCTCTCTGTGGTTTTATTGGTCCCTGGTCCTCCCCCTCCCTCGGGGTCGGGTTCCCGGGGCCGCCGTCTGAGTGCCCGCACGGCCCTGATGGGCCGCTGCGGAGCGCTCCGCGCCCGCGGGGCGCACGACAAGACGCTGCGTAGCGAGAAACGGCAGAAACAGCAGGAACGGAGGAGGAGGTGGAGGAGGAGGAGGAGGTGGAGGAGGAGGAGGCGGCACCCCGCTCAGAGGGGCCCACTGAGCAGTCCTAGTCGTGCCTGGGGCCCTCGCCCCGCGCTCGCAACGGCGGGCCAAACGGACGGGGGGCAAGAATCTTTGCGCCTCGCGCTCCGCGAGGCGCGATTACATCTTCGCGCTCCCGCGCCGCCCATCCCCCCCCCTCCTCCTCCTCCTCCTCCTCCTCCTCCTCCTCCTCCTCCTCCTCCTCCTCACCCTCGTGGTGGCCCAGCGGCGTCAGCTGCGGAGGCCTGGCTCGGGCAGATGCTGTGCTGAAGGCACAGGGTAGGCCCAGTAGGCCTTCTCTGCCGCCCTGGCCGGGGCCAGCCGCGCCGCATCCGAGGCCATCCGAGGCGGCTGTGTCCGAGGCCGTCTGATGGGCTAGGGCCCTCCAGAGGCAGTCCGACGCCCCCCCGGACGCCGCAGAATGCAGCAGGCGTGGGGACAGAGCAGGGTCCCCACGGATTCCACGCGACATCCGTGGCAGGGAGGAGGCGTGGTCGGCCAGCGGCTTCGCGCGAGGCGCGCTCGGCTCCCATGATCTGCCTCCAGGCCTGGTGGCGCACGTAAAACCACCTTCGCCACCGCAAAGGAGCTAGCTTAACGAGCAAAACAAAAACAAAAAAAAGGAGAGGGAGAGGAGGAGAGCGTACAGGCGTTTCGCACCGAGCTCCGCGGTCCTGGCCCCGGCCGCGCACAAGTTGCGGCCGCTGATGGCGACGTTGACGAAGGCCAGGTCCGTCATGGCTTTCACGCACTTCTCGAGGCAGTATCCGCCACCGTGCTCCCCTGACACGCAGTCGGCTAACTCGTGCTGGCCGGATCCAAGTCCACTCAGATTTGCCAGGGCCCCTCTCTCCCCTCAGCATCCACCCGTGCGCCGCCCCGCCTCGAGACCCCGGGCGCCACTCGGGCGGTATCCAACGGCACCAGGATCCCCAACCAAGAAGGCTCGGGGAAGCAGCCATGACCGCCGAGATGGCGGAAGCCCACACCCAGGAGCTTCAGAGGCCGCCGAGAAGCCCTCCGGAGGGCCTCCGAGAGACGACGAGGCATAGAACAGACAGTGGTGTGTCGCCGCGCCGTTTGTGCTCGATGCGCCCAAGTGGACGACGCCGACACCACGGCAAGGCCACGGCAACCCCCCCGCGTCCCGCGCCCCAGGCAGACGACGCCGGGGCCGCGGCAGGCCCCACGGCGAGCCCACCGCGAGCCCGCGGCGGCGTGCGCCCCGGTGGCCGAGGCGCCCCGTCTCGAAGACGAAGGGCCGCGCGCGGGAACAAGCGGCGCGGCGGCATGTGCTTCGTGCTTTCTGCTTGCCATCCCTGGGGGTCGGACGAAAAAGGGGGGGTCGTAAAGGGGGGTACGTTCGGACCCAGGCCAGAACAGCATCCGTCCAGAACACGAAAGCCTCTGTCGGCCAAAGCAAGCAGAATATCCAAGGGCACCCTCCTCAGGATGCAGGAGAACTTTCAACAAGCACGACAAATATTAGGGTACCCCCCCGAACCGACCTCGACGTATACCTCGGTCCGACCGCAGCGAATCAGCTCATGCAGCCAGCTTTGGAAGGCGCCTGCCCCCGCGCCAGAAGCGCAGTTCTATCTCTGTCTCTCTCTCTCTCTCTCTTCCTCTCTCTCTCTCTCTCTCTCTCTCTCTATATATATATATATATATATATACATCAGAGTGAAAGGGCCGAAAGTTCATTCTTTGTTCCTGGGTGCGTGGCTGAAGTGGGGATCCGCGGGGATGATTATGCTTGTTGTTGTTGAACATTATTACTTCTAAAGAATAATTATTGTTGGGGCCCCTGGTGCACGACCCCCCCGCCGCGCCTAGGCCGCAGCCTCATTTTCATCATTTTCGTGAGGAAGTCTCAAGCAAAACGGGGGAGTCCGGATCCGGTTGTGTTGTTACGATCGGTTTTCCCTTGCCAAAAATAAGCTAAAGTGGACATTTCTTGTTCTAACATAACCAAACTTCAAGAATCCCTTGCAAAAAATAAGGTAAAGTGGACATTCGCGCGCGCAAGACGAAATCCTTCCAAAACCTTAGTTTTCGTAGCGATTTTAACATAAAAACATCAAAAAACAATGGTTCTTCAACAAAAAATGTCAAAATGTCATCCCGCGCGCTCTTGCGGATTTGTAGGAAACCCAACACTTTTTAATCATTTCTGTCAAACGGGCTTTTGCGAGCAACTTTTTCACGTGCTTCGAAATTCTCCAACAACGGTTGCGCACCTGCCAGGGCCATCATCCCTGTCAAATAATACCATGCGGGACACATTCGTTTTTTCTTCGCGCGCGCACGCCGAAATCTTCAACAACATAAAATCATACGAATCGCACCGTAGGTCCTCGAAAAACATCTGTACGAATTTTCAAAATTTCTACCCGCGCGCGCTGTCCGAATCCTAAAAAACCAATGGTTTTCAACATTTATGGTACATGAGCTCGCGCGAGCTACTTTCGCAAGCTCTTTCAACGGCGTTCGCGCGCCTGCCAGGGGGAAAAGTCGTATACTAAGCTAGCGTCCAGAAAATGTTACCACAACAAGTCACTGTACCCATGCGCCAGTGTAGTAGCCACGGTCGTCCGCAGGCCACGAAGTGAAGTGTCCGAACGTCATAGGGCGGGAAGCTGGGTGTGGGTGGTGGCGAAGAGTCGTTTGGAAATGTGGTAGAGCTTGAACCGGCCCCCCCACAAAGTGGGGGTATTGGCGGGCGTCGTATGAAAACCCTGGCACTGGTGAGAACGGAGTGTCCCCACGTGCTAGTAATTGTTGTTGTTGTTGTTGTTGTCGTCGTCGTCGTCCCCCCCCCCCCCCCGACCCGCCCGCGACCCACCCCGCGACCCACCCCACGACCCACCCCGCGACCCACCCCGTGACCCACCCCGCGACCCACTCCGCGACCCACCCCGCGACCCACCTGCGACCCACCCCGCGATCCACCCACTTTGCTTTAACGAAGAAATCGGCGCCTGCGGCGGGCTCACTGCATAATTTGTAAAGTTCGGCGCCTGCGGCGGGCTTCTCCAAAGCCTCGCAGACTGACGACGTCCTCGCCGCCCCGATCACTCTTATCCGCAACTGCGGGGTGCTACGTATATACTTATATATAATTTTATGCATGTGTATAAATGTGTATATATATAGCATGGGCATTTCCTCGCGGCTTCCTACGACAGTGCCAGGACGAGGATAACATCGGACGAGGATCAATGTGTGCGCGAATTAATGCGTTGGCGATGAATGGGGAAGGGGGGGGAGGAAGGTGCCCTTCTGGAGCTCAAAAGGCACCCTCGTGGGCCACAAAGGCCCCTCTTAAAAACTCTAAAGGGCCCTTTGTCGGCAGCCCTCGATGCCCCCCCATTTATCCCCTATTAATTCGCGCTCAGTACATCAGGATTCTCTGAGATGCGAAGCGTTCTGGAACGTTCTGGAACGATCTGAAAGCAATCTGGAACGCTCTTGGGGAAACCCAAAGGTCCCGATACCGCTACTCCCAGGACCTCTCCCGGGGTACGTTCTGACCAGACTCTCGAGGCGGATCCAGCGGTGGCGACGAGGGCCTCCGAGGAGGCCGACAAAAAGAGAAGCAAGAGGGAAGGGTAGCCGTATGGATACCTTTCCCTCCTCTGAGCTCTGGAACGGATATATCCTTGACCTGGCCCCGCCCGGCCAGTCCCTATCCCCCACTCTCGCTCGACCTGGGAGTAGCCCCCAGACTGCCCCCAGCGGCCGCCAGAGGCCCCCATCGCGCCCCCAAAATAGTACCAAGTGAAGGCTCCAGGACGGCCCGCGTCCGGCACACAGCGGCGCCAAGACAACCCCCAGCCGACCCAACGAACGAGCGGACGAGCTGCATCGCACCAGAAGGCGACCCAAGGATGGGCGACAAGCGTGCGCGAGAACGGTGGCTTTTCGAAAAGGGATCTGGACAAAAATTCATCGCAGGTGCACGCTCACCGCCACGAGCACTTATTCGTAGTTCTCCCAATCCGCGGTCGTGGCTGAGTAGGTCCACTGATCCCAAAACCCAGACGACCACAATACCTCCCGTCCGAAAGACCCGAAGATTCCGAGAGGGTGCCCGAAAGGCCCAGGGAAACTCTCAACGAGCACTTAGCAAGCTCCTGGAAGGACCAAATCCCCCGATGCCACTTGTCAACGCCCTCTCAACCATCGGGGTCATCTGATGCTACGGTTTTTTTCTTCTGACCGGGGAAACGACCACACGCGTGTTGCGGCCAGCTGGATCCTTGTGAACGAAGGTGGCACACGTCACGGTTTTCTGGGTCCCGAACAGCTCGGCGATCGCGTGCGCTCCGACCTCTTCGGAGCCCGCGGGCGAGGTGTGTCCCACGCGAATGCCAATCGGAGCAGTACAGCGATATCTGTCTGGCATTACTATTACGTCGGGCGCGTCCCCCTGTACAGGGGGATCTTCTACGAAAAATAACAATTGCTCACTGCGTGGAGCTCCCCATATGTGTATCTTATGTTTTATGCCATGCCATAGTGAGCGTATGTTCATGAGCGCTTGACTATAATAGCGCGTCCACATGGGGGACAGGGCCGACGAAAACGAACGAATTTGAATGCGAGTGAGTGAGTATGAGTCAGAGTGAGCTTTGCGTATGATTGAATGTGCGCCTCCCATTCAATCCCCCTTCCTAGGCTGCCAGGCCGTGCCCTCCTCAGCCTGTGGTAATGTTCGTATGATCTAGGATAGTTGGCAGTGGGATATGTTAAACGAGCGTTTAGCCACACAAAGCCATATGTGCATATGGATAGCGCCACGGCGAGCATTTGTCCATGATAGTTGTTTGCTCCACGAGCGCGTCCATGTGAGCGGCGAACGCACGTGCGCGCAGCGCGGCAGCACATCCACCAAGTGCACGCATTCAATAACATGCACATGTCCGCGCATTTTTTGTCAGGGCGAAGAGTTCTTTCGGCGCCGCGTCCGAAGCACCAGGGAGACTACGAATGACAACTGTTTCAAACGGCACCCAGCGACCTGCACCTCAGCTTTAACCGTCCGCACTTCGCATCGGGCCTAGCTGGCAACGCAAACAGAAGTCATGAAACGGGCCTAGCTGGCAACGCAAACAGAAATCATGAAAACGAGCAAACCGCCTGAGGCATCGCCGCACAATTTCCGCGAACGGGCCCGTGTCCGACCCCCTTGGCAGCTCTCCTTAGGATGTTGAGACCAGCGCCCCGCCTGAGACATCCTCAGAATCTGCTGTGAAAACCAAGGACGTTGGGCATGAAAACAAAACAACGCCTGAGACATCCCCACAAACTGGCCGCGAACAGGCCCGTGTCCTACCCCCTGGCGGCTCCGTTAGGGGTGCTGAAACCAGCGCCCCGCCTGAGACATCCTCACAATCTGCTATGAAAGCCAAGGACGTTGGGCATAACAACGAGCAAACCGCCTGAGACATCCCCACAAATTTGCCGCGAACGGGCCCGTGAAAACACCCCGGGCGGCTCCCCTTAGGGGTGCTGAAACCAAGTCTGAGTATGAGTAGGCCTGCATGTTATGTGTGTGTGTTTAATAAGTCAGACCACGGGAAGGTCTGAGTATGAATAGGTCTGAGTATGAGTAAGTCTGTGTATGAGTAGCTGTGTTCTCTCTGGAGTCGGCGGCGTTCGAGTAATAACAAGAACCCCATCTTAGGCGGTGGGGGAATACTCAACAACAACAACTATTTTTTTACTATTTTTGAAGATTCACCCTGGAGAGGGACAGGCCCGACTTAAATATATCTGCAGGCTGTCTCCTGGACGGTCGCCACACAAAGTGCTGCGCCTGGCGGAGCTTGCCGCAGGCGCCCGGACACGAAGCACCTGACGCACCAGACCAAGCACCGCGTGATGGCGTTGGCGTCCTCGGCGTCGCCCGTCTGGGACAGCAGGTACTCCAGAATCAGCCTCGGAAGCACCAATCCTGCACACACACCCACAGATAACCGACCACGGGAGACAATAAAGTACCCCCCCCTATCCCCCCCGAATGTTTTTTTTCTCCGGCCAATCGGATTGAATTGTGGAGGGAGGCGCGGAGGCCGAACTTTATAATCCACGGGGAAGTTGCGGGGATCGGAGTTTCTATCGTATCATGTTGACTAGCAACAGCATCAAAAACGCTGAGCATGGCCATGGTGGCCTCACCATAATAGCCCCTTCCTCTCTCTCACACGCACAAGCACGCACGCTCACACACAGACACAGACACAGACACAGACACAGACACACAGACACAGACACAGACACAGACACACACACACACACACACACACACACACACACACACACACACACACACACACACACACACACACGCGCACGCACGCACGCACGCACGCACGCACGCACGCACACTCTCACACACTCTCTCTGTTCGGTCGCAGCGGCGAGGCGACTTAACTAGCGCGTTGGGCTCACACACACACAAACACACACACACACACACACACTCACACACAGTCACACTAACACGCACACACGCACCGAGTCCTCCAGTCCTGTCGAGCCGCAGCCTCCTCCGCCACCTTTCCCTACACCCTCCTCGCTCCCCTCTGCGAGAGGGCTTGTACTCCGAAAGCCTGGGCATCGTGGCCAGAGCGATGATAAAAGAGCCGAAGACCATGGTGCCCCAGTGGTACCGGTAAACCCTGCACATCGAGTAAATGACTGGGCGGCCGAAGTACCATCCGGCCGAATTGATGCCAGTACCTGCGTTATCCGCGTCGTTGCGGTGGAAATACCAGTGAGCAACAGCACCAGCCACGGTGGTCCTGAACACCGCCATGTGCAAGGCATACGACCAACACGAAACGAACACAAGGACCCACATCAACATGAACTTGCCATTGTCGAGTTCCTCGTGAGGCTGGCCGTCGAAGATGCGGCCTGCTAGGTCACCGAGCCGTTTACTGGCCTCTGACTGTGGTTCGAGAGTCCGCCAGGTCCCGATTGGGAGGGTTGCCGCATCGGGTTGCTCACTTGTTCGGGTGGACGTGGGGGGAGGAGCGCCAGTGAGCTTGCCACCTCCTGCCCATGAGAGGTCTGCGTGGCAGGGCATGCTGCACGAGACCTGGAGAGAGGCTGGGAGGAAGGAGGGGGCGAGGCGAAGGGGGGGAGCGAGGCAAAGGGAGCATGGGAAGGGATGAGGAGCATGGAGGAGGAGGAGGAGGAGGGATGAGGAGCATGGAGGAGGAGGACGAAAAGGAGGGGCTCCCCCTCCCTCCTCCTCCGCCTCCTCATCCTCCTCCTGTTCCTCCTCCTCCTCCTCTTCCTACTGCGTCCCTCGGCGCCGCTAGAGTTTTGGGCAAGTGGTGGTCCTTGTTAGGATCCTCAACATTCTCCCGCTCATCCACCTCGGACGCCTCCTCAAGCACATCCGCCGCCTCCTCCTCCTCCTCCTCTTCCTCCTCCTCCTCCGCGTGCTCGGACTCCTCCTCCTCCTCCTCCTCCTCCTCGTCCTCCTCGTGCTAAGACTCCTCCTTATCATCTTCCTCCTCCTCCTCCTCCTCCTCCTCCTCCTCCTCCTCCCCCATCAGGCTCCCTCCTCCTCGTCATCCGCCCGTTCCCCCCCCCCACCCCTCGACTTCCTCATCCTTCCCAACTCTCTTCCCCCTGGTCCTTGAGGTCAGAACCCTCCGCCTTCTCCCTCCTCCGCTTCCGCCTCCTCCCATTACTCCTGTCCGTTCTCCTCCTCCTCCTCCTCCTGCGCCTCCTCCTCCTCCTGCTCATTTCGTTTCTCCTCCTCCTC